CTTTGGTTATACATTACTGTGCACAAATCTTGAGTGACCCCACATTTCTTTATAATTTGCTAGGAAGATGGAAATGAGTGCAGCCATACATGTACACAGCAGAGTTTGCACGATCCTAAGAAGCTTCAATATTTGGTATGGCTGCCTTTATAAAGCCCGAGCCCACTCTGGTAGCTTTCTTCTAGTTTGTTTAAGTAGTTTTCAGAGACTTCAGGAGACTTTGCTCAACTGAAGAACAAATGCATCTCTCTGTGTCAAGTCTCTGATGGGTTTTTTCCCCCCATTTCTTCATCTGCTGTTGATAGTTTTTAAGCTTTAAAGACCTACCACCTCTTTTGCCCTCCATTTGTCCAGTGTCCTCAACCATACAGAGATATGCTACATTTTCAGCTAATGCCTCTTTGCCACACCATGTTGCCTTGTGCATGTTTTTTGTACATTAAACTAAAAAAAAGGGAACATGTTGTGTTTTTTGTGACCCACTGCTAATAAGAAAGTGCCTAAAAATTCAATTTAAAATGTGATCTTTCTCAGTTGTCAGTTATGTGTTGATACCACACTGGGTCACAGTGTAAGTATTGCATCAAATTAGTAAAATATATAATTAAAATGTTGCACAAAATCCTCACACCAGTGCTGCTACTCCATGTCTTTCATTAGAGCATCAAAAAGCAGAACAAAGGTTTGGCATTTTGCACAGGATTAATGCCCCGAGCAAGACAGCGTTGGCAAGCCCTGCTGTGGCCTCTATGTGTATATATATATATATATCTATGCACGAGAGCTATGACTACTGCTGAGTCATTTGACCAAGGAAGGAAGGCCAATTTTACACTTCCCTGCTACAGATAAAAGCCAGATTTAAGTGGGACTTTTTGTGGTCACTGCGGCATTAATAGAGAGAGAAATTCTGCCCTTTTGGGAAATGTCAACAGGTGCTCCTTTGTCAGCCTCCCACTAAAGAGTCTCAGCATGACTAAGCACAGACACTCCTACTGCTGCCCCGTCTGTCTCCTCTTTGAACAACCTGCCCAAAACCATCAGAAACCATCAGCTACTGTTACAAACATCATCAAAATAGAGGACAGACATTTTGCTTTTCTTTCACAGGAATCCTTACCAATGTTTAAACCAATCCTAAATTAAATAAAGTCATAGATTTAACTGAGTATAATAAACACACATAGCTTCAAAGTCTGGATTATTTTCTAATGACCAACAGGAGGCAATGACTATGGGACATCCAGTTTCCTGATAAGTTGTTGGGCTTAATCGCTAGTTGGAAATTATTACGTATGGCACATGGCTCATTTTACAGGTTTTAATAGCTTTAATAGTTCTCCCAGTATCCAGTTTAACTTTGTCCAGATGTTTATCTCAAAACATTAAAGAAGACTAAGCCATATTACACAATCTGCTTCTGCTAGCACAGACCCCTGACACGAGTCTGCATCCTTCTGCCCGCTAAGTCACCATAGCAACAAGAGAAAGTACCAACAGAGAGAAGAGAGAGAGAAGAGACACGGAGGTCAAAGCCATTCAGCAGAGAGGAAAGGACATGACACAAGACAGAAAGCAACCTGAAGACAGGTTAAAAGAAACAGATGGCAGCTAAGAGCTGGCAGGGCATGAGATCAGAATGACCTCGAGACCGATAAAAACAGACTCAGTTTGCAGGAAAATTACTCAAATGAAAACCCTTTTGTGCCTAACGGTGGCTGGAGGGAGATCTACAGGTTGATAAGCTTTGACAGAAAAGGAAGGATTTGCTCAGGAGTACAACTTTTGCAGCCAAAAAGCCAATAAAGAAATTCCCTAAGATCCTTCAGCCTTTTTTCTCTTCCAGTTACTGTACTGATAGGATGCATATACCTATTTCTATTCTTCTCCCTTTCCCAACTATCTGATACTCTGGCTTTTAAAAGAGGACAGGTTCTTTTTTTTTAATTATTATTATTATCTCTTTTATTGGGACAGCTGTTGAACAGTAGTTTGCCTTTTTACATTTTCTTCGCTGTCACATTTTAACTTATAATTTAAAAATAAAGAAGACAGAAAAAGAAGAGAAAAGAAAAGAAGAAAAAACAAAAACAACCCCCCCCCCCAAAAACAACAACAACAAACAAACAAAAAACAAAACTAGGGTTAGGAGGCAGCAGGGCAGGTAGGACAGGTTCTAAACTGAGACAAAAATGTGCTGTTTATATATAAAACATAAAAACATAGTTGTTTTTTAAAAGGGTGTAGTTCTGGTGTAGCATTATCGAATATTTAACTACTTTTCATGTGATTTTGATTCACGAGTTCTTCCATGTAGATCTACATACGAGATATGAAAAACCTATAAAATCAAGCATATAAAAACTGAATCAGATGCTTAAGAAAGGTTCAGTGTTGCAAATGCACAACCACCCACAGTATGAAAGACGTGGACAAAGACATCACCCAGGTTCTGTTTTAAAGCATCGACCTGAGTGTTTGCACTGTCCTCATGTTGGTGTTTAAAAATCAGATATGACGAGGGAATGTTGTGTCTTTCAGTTGTGGGTAACAGACATGCTGTCCATAATACAAATGGAAAAGTTCAGCAAAGACTCAAAAGATTCTCTTCTGAGTGTCTGGAAACCCTTCTTGGAACACTTTGCGAGGGCCAGATTGGACTAAACTGGACCCAGATTTGTAAACTCTCATCAACTCCAGCTTTTGGTGCTCTATCCTGTGGTGTTCTGTGAAGTGCATGTTTGCTTGAATTAATTGTTTTTTCTGGAACACATCTGAGACTGTCTGTTTTTGTTTGTTTTGGGATTTGTGTTGGTTTATATTTAGAAAATGTGAAATAAAATAATAACAAAAAAAAAATCAAATATGATAAACTTCAGCAGATCAGACTGAGAAACTGAAGACACTGCAAGCTCCAGGAATGAGTCATTAGTCAGTAACTCAAGTGATGAATGAATAAATTACTAAATTAACTTCATGCTTTATTCAGTTTGACCTGAAACTTTGTAAAGTAACGAACACCCGAAGTCTTTTCACAACCAGAGGAGTCGCCCCCTGCTGGCCATTAAAAGATGGCAGATTTGAGACATTTCCATTTTGTCTTCACCCTAAGAAGGTTGAACCCATGTTTTACACCGTCTATGCCCCACCCGACTTTCAGTGTTATTTTTAAAGTGCAAAACATCCCTTACCTTTCTTGTTCATGCGAAAGAAATGTAATGCTATTGGCCAGGAAAGAATCGCCATCAATGACACTGCAGCCACATGTAGGTAAGGTGCTGTGACCTAAATATAAAAAGAAAGCGACAGCACGTAATAAACATAACTGTACAAATCTCTCTGCTAATATTTATGACTACAATAATAACTGTACAATGTTTAATAAACTCTGGTTAATTATTTGAAAAAAACAAAACCAAACAACGAATCACTCCTTGCTGTGATTGGCTGGTGTGGCTCACCTGCAGAGAGAGGAGGAGAGTCTTCCATTCTTTGCTCCAGAGGTCAGAGAGGATGGCGGTGGCTGTGACGGAGAACGCCAGCGTCACCACAATACCAGACTGACAAAGAGAGGAAGACGAGAAAATACAACGTATGTGAATGCACACCAACGGAGACCTGAAAAACCAACGGTTCATGCTCTTTTACATTTCTGTATTTATACCTTGTGGCTCCAGTGAAGGTACAACCTCTGGCCCTCAGAAAGCAAACACACCGCCAGCACCTAAACAACAGGTGCAGAACAGGCTTAGAGTGTCAGACAATAATATTCTTAATATCCAATATCTATTAATATTAGCGTTTTATAAAGCTGATTAAAGCAACCATCTGTTAAACCTTTAACTTCAAGAACTTTAAAAAAAGATAAAAATAAAAATTTATTTTGTCCTGATTTTTTTCTTATTATGAAATTTCTTTCATGTGTCCAATAAAAACAGTCAAATCTCTACGGATTTGATCAAAGCCAATCTTCAAAGCAGAAAGTCAACTGTTAATACAGATTTTTCTTTCACATGTTTTATATAAAAGTCTTACATAAGTTTGTCACTCTAGAGAAGAAGACAAGCTCCTAAATGTCAAACGGCCTGCTGATGGAGCCCGAGGCACAGTGCACACTTGTGTCTAATAAAACGCTTTGAAGAACTCCAGTTAAAGTGAAAAAAACAAACAAGTAATCTGTGATGTTTCAATGCTTTGCTGTTATTGCATAACTGCAGGAGGGCACAGGTTGGTAACAGGAGAGCAAACAAACAGTCAAGTAGGTCCCAATAAGGTGTTGCTGAAAACTTGCTGAACTTTAATAAGAACATTGTTGTAGCTGTAATACAAAGGTTTTCTTGGCATCTCCAGGGAATTAAAGTGGCAACCACTATTTTCTTTCTTCTTGTTTTAAATTGGTTTTCTATTACATTTCCAGGTTCCAGACGGGTTGAAATCTGAAATCGGTGTTCATACCAATAGCAGAGAGATGTATGTGAAGAGAGCCGCAGCAACAATCAGCAGGACCAGAGACCAGGGGAACCAGAACCCAAGATTCCCAAAGTTAAACCTGAAGATACAAAAGGACAGAAACAAAACTGTAGCAGCAGCTTCGTGTCTGTTTAAAGTGTGCTTCATGGTGTGTTTGGTCAGTTTAATCCACACCAACTCTGAACAAAACATCAAACAGTCATCAGCTGTGGACATTTATACCTGTGGACAAAAACTGCAACATTTCTTGGAGACAGTTGTCATGAATCTGTAAGTGATGTGTTTTATGCATATTTTGTGTGTGGAGCACATGTTTAACCAGATGGGTGAAGCTGGAACAGAAAAGCTCTTTAAAAGCAGCAACAGTTGTATTTTTTACTTAAACAACGTTTTCTTTGAGTCCTAACCAGCTAGGTTTTGTTACAAAAAACAAACAAACAGTTAATGTAGTATTGTGTTGCATTTTTCAATACAAGTTCAAAGTGTGAAAATCAGTGACGATTGAATGAACTCCCAAGATGTGTGTCTTGCTCATGAATCAGTGCATATGAGTGTACTTAGACTTATGAACAAATGTTGTGGGAGATTCAAATGCTTTATGACAGTTACAGCTGCTCAAGTTGTCTTTTTCTGACTCTGAAAAATGTTTCACTGACGATTGATTTTCAACTTTATTTCCTCCAAACAGCTCTACCCTTATGGCTACATCCCAACTCCATCACATAAAACAATGGATGCACTAAAAATTACAACAAACACTTAATGAGCGGTTGTGAAACTGAAGCGTACAATGCAACCCAGAAATGGAGACGCCTTCAAAGTAAGTTGCATCTTTTGTGACATTTTTCTTTCAGCAATAAGGAACAACTTTTACTTTGAAGGCAAACATTCTCAGTTACTAGTTTGCATTTTCTCTACTGCTTGAGTGTTTGCAGACATGTCATCTGTGTTTTTAATGCAAACTATGGGCAAAAGTGACAATCTTCTAGCGACCAAAGACATTGCAAAGGTTTTTGGTCCAGAACCTTGTTTGGGACTGATTTCACCCAGCAACAGCCAGCAACCTTCAGCAACCATTTGCCAATCAGTTGGAAAATAGAGAGTAAAGGTTTCCTCTCCAGACATATGTGCCAGAGGCAAAACATTAATGTGTGAGCACTTGTCAGTGTTTGTCAGTGTGCTCAGTACGAACCAGTCAAAGTCACTGTAGTCGTTCTGGGCTTCACTCCAGAAATAGAGGAACACAAAACTCAGGAAAAAGGTGAGGATCAGGAGGCCAAAGCTGCCACACTCCACCTGTAAAACACACACAGAAGTTCAATCAAACATCCCATTTCTACTCCACAAAAGAAAAAAATCAAATATATTTGTATCATACTCCGCTAGCTCCTGGTGAAGATGTTAAACAGTTTAAAGGCGAACTCGTTTTCTCGGGGTAAAAAAGGTTTACATTCATATTTGGAGGACAAACTCCCTGATGCTGAGGACGTATTTTATTACCAGGTGCAAATAGAACCACTAAATATTAAAACCAGCTGACAGAGCGTATGCACATCCTGATATTTTTTCATAGAAAAAGCAGTCAGAGTCAGCAGGCCAGACTGAGGAGAACCGGCTGGGTAATCAATACTCTTTGCACAATCAGCAAACTAACCAACAATCTGCTTGTTGCAGACTGTGTGTGTGTGTGTGTGTGTGTGTGTGTGTGTGTGTGTGTGTGTGTGTGTGTGTGTGTGTGTGTGTGTGTGTACCTTGCTGCAGCAGCACTCTCCCGGCTGTGCCCGGGCTCTTTGGTATCGTCTCCATTGGCAGCCGTAGAGGCCAGCCAGGCAGGAGACAAATGGCTGGTGTTCATACCTGATACAGATACAAAAACACTCAGGATGACACTTTCCTAAATACAGCATTCAACATATTAAATACATGTTATGAATGAACTGTACTCCTACAATTTTATTACAAATAGGCTTTGAGCAACACACTTTACTGTCATTTCTGAGAAGTGTTTACTGGACATTTATGTTTTTTCTGTCATGTCATCTTCATATAGAACATGGACAAAGCCTATGGGCAGGTAACCTCTGCTATCCAAAGGAACAGGCTTCAGACTGGTCTCTTTGGCCCCCCCACCCCAAATCTTGGCCTTCCACCCACCTACTGTTCAAACCTTTGTTTGCCGGAAGGGACAGAAGAGAGTCAGGAAGGACAAGACAGGAGCTAAAAGGGCTCGTCTTTGAAGCATCAAGGCCCAGAAGGTTTGTTTTCAAATGTTTAAAAAAAAAGGGATCATGCACAGTAAGGGTCAATGTATAAATGTGCCAGATTTAGCTTTACATCTGCAGCCACTGACAAGTCGATGGCCCTTACAGCATAAAGACTAAAAGAAAACTAAAAACACAAGAGTATCGACTCAAAAAAGAAAAACCAGAAAAGAAAAGCACATAAACGTGAGGATGTATTTCAAATCGTGACAGCATGTTTAATGATCCTGTGACCACTGTGTTATACTGTGTCCAACTGATATGATGAAAAAGCATTATTTTAATCTATGATTCATACAAAGGTACTCCAACATGAAAATACTGAGCTGGAAATGAGCAAAGAAGAGTGCAGGGTGTGAAATAATCTAATCAAAATAATGTTGAGTGAAAACCCAGATTCACTAACATCTAAAATTAATAAATCTTTGCATGACAATGTGCTGGTTGCTCGAGATTTTACTGAAATCAACAAACTGCCAGCAACAAACATTTCCTACAGTAAACACACAGGAAAATAGCACAGTTTAGATGATGCATTCAGGTTATCTCGGTACATAAATAAGCTGTGTGACTCATCCTGTACAGATGGTCATACTTTAGATCGAACAGTCCTCCATGAAAACAGTGTAAAGCTCATCGTGTACAGACAGGATGTTTGAAAAGTTATTTTCTGATACTTTAAAACAAATTAAGTTCAGCTACAGCCCCGAGGAACCAATGACAATTAAAATGGTCTAAATTCTAGATTTGAAATCAGGGTCTGTTAAACCCTCATAAAAAGCGCAGCTGTAACAAAATCTGCTGCTGAGGTTGCCTTGCCTCTCTTTCTTCATCTCTAAACTGCTCAGCTTGAGCTGTCTCTCTGATGTACTCTAATGTTATCCTGGTCACTCCCAATGAAAATCTTAACATATTCAGCCTCTCCAGGGCTCGCAAAATCGCTAGCCCCGGGACGTCGGGCTGGTGATTTTGCGAGCCCTGCTCTCCACTTCCTGTCTTTTTGTCAGTCCCAAACATCATAGCAAGTCTCACTACCGTCTTGTAAACCTTCCCATTCACACTTGCTGATATTCCTGTGTCAAAAATTGCCTCTAACATGTGTCCCCACCATGTCTCCACCCTGCCTGTTCGCCTTACTTGTTTACTGTCAGTTGCTCTGCATGGTTGACCCAAGCTATTTAAACTCATCTTCCTTCACCATCTCTGCTCCTCGCATCTTCACTTTTCCATCTGTCTCCTTCTCATTTAAACATCTTCTGCCCAGCGTCTCTCCTGTGCACACCTCCACCTCTCCAGGCTCTCTTCCACCTGATCTCTGCAAACATCATATTTCAGAGACCTGACCTCATCAGTCAGCCTGTCCTGTCACCACTGTCCTCATACATGTCCTGCATCACCATCACACACTTCTCTGCCCTAACTTTTTCCATGACTTCCTCATGAAGTACCACAATTCACCTCTTGGCTTCCATTAAATGCTTTCTCTAAATCCACCGGACCTTGGTAAATAATGATTAGAAGCTATATTAACTTACAATGTTTCCTTCAAGATCAAGGAAAGATGACTAAGAAAAAAAAGAGGTTAGAGGCCATCTTTTGGACTATTCAACTACAGTCTGTATGTACCACAGTGAGTGTAATGGTGATGGTGTTTTGTACCTTTGCAGCAGCTGCCGCCGCACCACCTTTAGCTTCCCCAGCTTCAGTCTGGTCACGGGCATACAGTCAGCCCCAGCCCAGCATCACAGGGAGAGACAGAAAAGGAGAGAAGACATGTAGGACAGCGAGAGGGGAACAGCTGGATTTTTGGCCACCAAACTCTTTACCTAAGGGGGAGAAAAGAAAGCTCAATTTAAAATGTATTCACAGGAAAAGTAGACTCAGCAAGACAGAGCGTGTGAGTGTCCTGGTTTCATTACTGTGGCCTGCTTAAAGTAACCCAGAAGATGCAGATCAGCTCACAGAAATACACACTGACCTGTATTTGATCTACAGCTCAAACATGTGATTTATGATAATCAAATGTCCTACATGCTCAGCTAATCTATCACGCCACATCTGGAGCAGAACGACTGAACTACACCCACAGAAGAAGAACAAGTCTCTCTCTCTCCATCTACCCCTAAAGACAGAGTAACGGCAGCAATTTTTCAGGGGGATTGGAGTAGCATCGCTGTAAAGCTGCACCTCGTTCACAGTCACGAGCTGTGAGTAGCAACCGAAAAGAATGAAGTGACAGACACAAGCATCCAAAACGAGTTTCCTCAGCCTTAACATATAAACACAAGAATGGACTCACTTCACACTGCAAGCTGTTATTTCACATGACATTACTTCAAGTTACTGGAAGTCGCTTCCTGCATCACTTCTGTGTGGACAGCCCTCCACAGATAGCTGAGGAGTTTGGAGCAGAGACATTGCTCCTTCATCTCAAATAGAGCCAGGTGAGGTGGTTCATATGTCTTATAAGGGTGATTCTTGACACCTGCCTTTGGAGGTTTTCTGGGCACCCAAAAAGTTGCAGGAAACCCGATGTAAACCTCGTTCAATAGATTAAATATGGCATTGAAGTGCAGCTGGGATTTCCCAGAAGAAAATGTTTTGTGGTGAAGGACATCTAGAAAATCCCATTTCACCTGGTGATACCGCAGCCCTAATGTGGACATAATTGATGGATTTATTTAAAAATTTGATGTGTTCCTGGATCTGATAAGACAGCTTCTTCCACAAGAATGAAAACAGTAGCTCAAGAAATTTACAACCAGGTTTGAAATTCCTGATGTGCAATTCATTTCAGTCAAAACTATTCTGCTCTATACCACACAGTAATGTGCAGTAAGCACTGAGCACCCTTCATTTCTTTACATTTTGCTTGCAAAATGGAAATAGGTGAAATAAGATGACAGTACTTTATTAAAACGTGCTAACATAAGCAATATATTTTATACTACATACATATCCCCATCTTAAAATGTGCACAGTTCAGTGTGTTGTTTGTCATTTCCATTTTAATTTTTGTGACTGAAGTCTGTTACTAGACGACCAGCAAACTTATCGCACAGCTCCCATGGCAACTGTGACATCAGATATTATTACTGCAGTGAAGAGGATGATGGAAGGTGGGGCAAACAAGAAAGGACCAGATGGAGTGATAAAGGGGAGAGTGAGGAAATGACAGGGTGAAAGTGTGAGAGGGAAACCACGATTAGGCGTCATCAAAGCTGTTGTGTACAGAACATAAAAGCACACAGAGTCCTCTGTCCCACACGCAGTTCACAGTGAGCACATAGTACATTCAGAGAGACGCAGAATATAAAAACAGGAAATGTAAATATCTGGCGAGGGAGTCAGCACCCACATGCTGTCATTCAAGCAAAACCTGAGATACTGAATGTGTTGTGCTGGAATTGCCCACCCCTGGCCTAGAACAACTAAATGGTTTTGGCCATTATTCATCAACTGTCCGGGGAGCACATGTTTTATGACTCATTCATTTATAAGTGTGGTTGCCTTAACTGGGAGGTTTGTGCCAACACAGGAAATCCATGCAACACGTGTACATGGATCAAACATGTATGTGTGGAACTGCAGAAATTTAGACATCACTTTCAAATGACCCTTTTTGTACCATCTTTTATTATTTTTAGTTTAGTTGTTTTAAAGTGTGGTAAATGGGCTGGTTCTTATATAGCGCTTTCCTACTCTACTTGAGCACTCAGTGCTTTATATCATTTCACACCCAGCACTTTTTTCTTTGCTTTTTTTACTTAAGTGCTTTCTATCTAACATTGACACACATTCATACTCTGACGGACGTATCGGAGGACAACTTGGGGTTTGTAACTTGCTCAAGAATATTTGACATGCAGACTGAAGCAGCCAGGGACCTCCAACCTTCTGAGTAACCAATGACTTGTGAGCTTTGTGTCACAGCCAATGGGAGTAATAATAAAAAGTATAAATAAATAAACAACTAATCGTCTACAGGCACCGCAATGGATTCACACCAGCAGCTGTTTATCTGGACCGGCTTACTGCTAACAGTTAAATTGCAGAAGGATTAATTGGTATTTTAGTCCACAGACTGTCTCCCTTCACTCTGCAGACAGCTCTGTTTCTATAGGCTTACATAACTAAACCATTGTTGTCTAAAGTTACTCTCAACCCACAGCCTGTCAGAGAGTTTTAACAACCGATAAAAGTGTTTTTTTCTTCTGTCTGTTGCTGGGTTTAGGACCTAAAGTGCGTCAGATGTGAGGCAGGTTGTGACGTGAAGAGAGCACTACCTGAGCTCCTGAGGTAAAAAGTAGGGTGCACTTGTTAAATTTAGGAGGATAAATTCGTTGTCCAACGAGTGAGGACGCACAAAAGTGGTTCACGGGAAAATGTGCTGCTGAGGTTTTTTCAATCTTTATGTCAACCTCTCCTTCCTTGGCTCTCTTTCTTTGTCTTGACACAGTTTTCCTTCCACATTCTCCCCCATCACCTATCCATCTGTCAGTTCCTCTTTGTCTCAGTGCAGATTTTGGATTGTGGCCAGTGCCTTAGCTGCAGGACATCCAACTGCACGCATGGACAGCACTTTATTTGGCCACAGGCAAAAAAAAAAAACTTCAGCTGAGGTCACCTCACCTGCCCACACACTTTTCTATTTATATTTATGCACACTATATCAACAACGACACTACAGCACCAACTTTTTACTTTCAGGTGTTGTAAAAAACTGTTTGTCAGTAAGGCTGTAGTTTGATGTGTAAAGACAGGCAAGTCAGATAAAGCTCTTAGAGCTGTGCGTTTTGTTTCACAACGACGCTCTCGTTTCGTTATTTAGTCCTGCAGCTCTTTACTTTTCTCGCTCCTTAAACATCCCAGATCACTCTGTCACACTATGGTATGTCTGAATTATTTCCTTGTTAACTTATTTTAAATCTCATTTAACATGGAAGATTTAGAAGTTTAGCATAGTTTCCATAACATTTGACTATAACCTTCTATAGTTTCACATTTATCATCCTTGCAGACAACCAACACTGCCTTTTTTGGTCAAAATGAGAGAAAACAGAAGGAGGGTGTTTCTGTCTGCCATTTTCATTTTAAATGTCAGCCTAATGCACCTGGTCACGGTCACGTCGAACCCTGAAACAGCTGTAATCACTGAACTGCTGCAGCGCCACAGGAACAACACAACGCAGGTAAAGAGTCTGTGTTTGACACAGCTTCAGACATGCAGCACTGCTCTGATCCCAGTGACAGCAGGAAAGGTGGGAACCTCACCATATGTGCTGCTGTCTGAAGGGGACCGAGCGTCTCTAAACAACAGTTTTTAACTAAGATGCTCCAACACAAGTTACACACCTAAAACCCGTCAGCACAGTTCTGTACAGCAAAGAAATGTGGTTTCTATTTTGTTGATGTTGTGATGCCTTTCGAATGCCTTGTCAGGCTTCATTTTAGATCTAATGTTCAGGCATTAAAGCGTGAACAAAGGGGTTAATACTCTACCCTACACACACTTAATACATATTAAGTGATGATGTATTAATCCTGCGCCAGGTTGGATGAGGCTCTTGTTTTTTTATCTTGTCATGAGCTCCTACCAAAACGAGTTAGTGGCCATTCTCAGTCGCAGATCTGTAAGTTTTTAAAACACGAGGTGTACACTACAGCCAGAAGGCTCACTGGATCCCAGATATCAAATATTCTTAAGCCTAAGAATTCAATCCCTCTCAGGCTGATTGAAATTTCAGTGTGGGTATTAATCTTTATGGATGCCTGGACGTTAAATTTTACTGTAACACCTGTTAGAACAGCTACACTACATTTTATTGGAGCTGAAAAAGCCTGGACCATTTTTACCTCTCAGCGGTGCCTCATGTTTGCTTGGCTTTAGAAAATGAAACCGCATTCAGACCCGGAAATAAAGCTGGGCATACACTGTGAGAGTTTGGGCCCATTTTGAGACGATTTTCCAGTCATGTGACCATTTTGGGAATCGGCCCGAGTTTCGCCTTAATCGTGTGTTGTGCATCGTGTAGTATACATGGGGTAATGAGAAGCGATTAACACCTCACGACCAGCTCCCAATCAGCAATCGTATAGTGACAAGAAAATCAAACCTGTTTGAAATCCTGGTCGCCCCTCGTGAGGGTATCGCACTGTGGAAGCAGTGCCACGGGCCGATTTAACGCAACCTCTCACACTGCGCATACGCAAACACAGAAATGGAAGTGAAAAAGACGGAGCAGCACGCCAGTTCAGCGTGTGTGCAGTTGTGTATAAATGCACAATGTGAGCACTCAAGTCACATCAGAGCATCGGGCCGTATAGTGTGAGAACATGCATCGTGACCTACAAACTTCTAACCCCTGCCATTCAGTCGTACAGTTTGAGCTGGAGCTGAATAACGCGACTGAACCCGCCCCCCCCAAAAAATGCATAGTGTGTGCCCAGGTTAATGATGTTAATGATGGAGAAATGCTTTAACGTTAAGGATGAAGATGGCTTAGGATCTGATGTGGATGTTATAATAATACAGTTTAAGCAGCAGGTGTTTAACAGCAGGCCTTAGACCAAATCAGCAGCAATGAACTGCAGAAAACCAGTGAATGGAGAAGAAATTCTGGTGCGCATTTTTCACTATAGCCTAAATTTTTACACCTAATGGTTTTCCAATTCTAAAACCTAGAACACATCATCTTAGCATATCTAACCATGATTTCCTTGTGATATTTTAAACGCATAAAAAGCATTTTTAAAGTGACCATAACGTATACAAATCACATTCAATCGACACACATTTTGTTACTACAGAGAACCTTTGCAAAGC